ATATATATATTTGAATTGCTATTGTAAAGAATTTTAAATATACCCCATCTTTTATGTAAGGGTGTGAAGCTTGAAGAGAACTTAGAAATTTAAGAAAATCTTATAAATATATCAAATGATATGAATAGATGATTATCACCAAAAATTGTAATCATTCAACTATCATTACATAATTGATACCATCTAATAACAATAACCATGGAAGAATTATTTTGTCTAGTTAACACATGTAACTTTGCGTGCTGAAGCCAATCCGAAAATGTCACGGGTCAAATATTTATTATTATTATTTTATTATAAAGAATTTATAATAAACGGCGTAAGTAACGACGTTGCCCGACTCGGTCCGTCAAAAGATATTTACGCGTCATTTTATCGTAGAAAAATAACACACCAAAAATTTGAAAACAAAATTAGAAAAGCTGTACAACTTCTAAAGCTTGGACATGAAAAATTTTTTCATTGTGAAACGTGAGGAAAAAACTGTTGTCGTTGTAAAAAAAAACCTTGAGGAGGGAGAGTGCAAGAGTGGTAACGTAAACAACTCTTAGGTCATAATCGCTTCTCTTTATGGTAATGAAATTATAGATTTGAACTCATTGAAAAGTTTGAAAAAATATTTCTTTTACATTGTTTATCTATAAGCTTTATTTATTTTTATTCATTGGAGCAATTTGATGCATGTAATATTTAATTTTCTTTATTCCTCCAATGAAACTATATTGATTGTGTGCTGATGAACGAGACTTTATTTAATTTATCGAAATGAACAATACAATGTTGTATTTGTTGTAAAAAATTGTATATTGAAATTTGCAATTAATTTTTTCCTCATGGCTATGATTCATTGATTTATCACTACTTTTACAACCATGTTGTATTTGTTGCATTGGTTTACTCAACACAACCGATACAACACTGTTGTTCCAAAAGGAACAATGCAATGTTCTATTTGTTATAAGAATTTATAACATAAAAATTAAAAAAAAAAGTATATAAAAATTCATACCGCTCGAAATGTAGAGGGTTAGCATATGAACATAATTCCACTGCTGGTCATTATATTGAAAGTTTTCAAATACACTATTAAAGCAATAAAACAAAAAAAATATATTAAGAATGCAAATATAAAATAACGTAATCATTGCGTGCTTACTTCAATACAACTGTATTGCATTGTATAAGGGAAATAATCAGACAATCGTAGGGAAAAATGAAAATTAAACATTGATTTTATCTATATACCATTTTTTTATTTAAAAATTCTTTATATTTATATACCATTTTTTTATTTAAAAAATTCATTATGTATATATATATATATATAATATTCATATTTTAAACATTGCTGCTCTACTATTACAAAGATGTTGAATCTGTAACATAGTTGTACAAGAGAAATAATCAGACAATCATAAGGAAAAAAATAAAAATTTCTTTTAATATATATACCATTTTTTTAAAATTCATTTTATCTATATACAATTTCTTTAATTCAAATTTTAAACAAAAATCAACATTTTTATTTTCCTAAAATACAATTGTGTTATATTGGTTGTTACCTTAGTACAACCTCGGTTGTATTAAGTTACATCAGTACAACCCATACAATATAGTTGTACAAGGGCACATAATCAAACAGTCGTAGGTATGAGGAATAACAAAAAATTAAAATTCATTCTATATATATACCCATTTTTTATTTTTATTCAAATTTTAATAAAAACTCAACATTGCTGCCTTATTATTTCAATACAACCGTATTATAATAGCTGTACCGAGTTCCGTCAGTACAATCATTTCAACATGTATCTAAAAAAAAAAAAAAAAAACTCAACAATTTTTTATTCACTTTTTTAAAAAACTCAACATTGCAACACCCCTTCAGTACAACTATATTGTATTGACTATACCAAGATAAATCGACACAACAAATACAGTATGGTTATACTTTAGGAGCACACAAAAAAAATCAATTATGAAAAAAAAAAACCATTCAAACAAGAAAAGACAATGATTGCCTCACATTTGAAAGTATATCATTAAATTTACTTACCAACAAGACAATAATTTGATCACACACAACTTTCGTATGTTGTATTTTGATTCCTACATGATTCTCAGTCTTTTCTTTTTCATTAAGTTGGGAGACAAGCTGACACGTGAAATTCTAGAATGAGAAAATGTCGGCAAATAAAAATAAAGAAACTAAACAGAAAAAGAGGGAAAATAACGAGCGTCAAACCATAAAACAAAACTTAGAGAGCTTAACATCAATCTCTGACTATGAAAAGTCAAATGAACCCCAAAAACCAAAAGCCTCGATCATTGTATTTGTTGCAATTGTCTTTTTTTCTGGAACGGTGGGGTCAGGGACGAGCGCGCATTACGTGTGTTGTTTTCTCTCATTTTAGAGATTAAAATATATTATATATAATAAAATAATGATAAAAAAACCCATGACATTTTTGGATTGGCTTCCGCACTTAGAGCTACGTGCGTTAACCAGACACAATAACTAGATAAACTAACTTTTTCCATCGATGATGCTAATCTTTAATATCATTCTTTTGCTCAAAGATTTCGCATTAGATTTATAATATTCCACACTTTGTAATTTTACAATATGATCAATTACTTCAACAATATCAAGTATTGCGATTTCTTCACTTTTTAAGTTTATTCATATAAAAAACTAAGATATTCATTCTCAGCTTCTCTTTGTGCGCGGGAGTTCTTCATATGAAGTTACGGTAAGTTATTTGTTGTTGCCAAATTCCAACATTCAATAATGCAAAATCAAACAACATATATTTAAAAATAATTCAATTTGGTAAATATAATAAGAAACTATATATAAAAAATAAAAAAAAGTTACTATGAATTTCAATATTTAAATGTAAGAAATTTAGTAAAAGTTGAAAAATAGGAAATAAATTTTTTTCTACAAAAATTAACATTAAAATGTAAATTTTATATGATCAATTACTTCAACAATATCAAGCAATGCGATTTCTTCTCTTTTTAAGTTTATTCATATAAAAAAACTAAGATACTCATTTTCAGCTTCTTTTATCTTTGTGCGCGGGAGTTCTTCATATGAAGTTAGTAAGTTACGATAAGTTATTTGTTGTTGCCAAATTCCAACATTCAATAATGCAAAATCAAACAACATAAATTGAAAAATAATTCAATATAATAAGAAACTATATATAAAAAAGAAAAAAAATACTATGAATTTCAATATTTAAACGTAAGAAATTTAGTAAAAGTTGAAAAATAGGAGTTAAAATTTTTTCTACAAAAATTAACATTAAAATGTAAATTTCTTAAATAAAAGTAATAAAACATTAATTTTATAAATGGCTAAAAGTAATGAAAGATAATAATTATCATTTTATATTATTCAAACAAAATTTTTCACAAATTTTGAAGTATACTTAATATTTATCACCTTAAAATTCATATTTAGTTGCATATCACTCAAATATTTAATATCACATAAAAATTATCATCTTTATTAACTTTTTAAAAGTGAAATGTATTTTTTTTTATGTATAAATTTTTGATATTAAAGTTATACATATAAAAAATAAATTTTGGGTGTCAATATGTAAATAGTTATGAATTGAAGGGTATGTACGTAAATTTCCCTATATTCTAATAAAACATAAATTTGGGAGTTCCAACTAACGAGGGGAGGGGAGCGTATCTTCAAGCTGAAGACTGAAGTTGAACGGAGCGCTCTCGCAACTCCAATGGATCAGCTGCTTTAACCTAGCATCGATCTTTCTCATGGCGGGTCTCAACGGCCCCTTGAGGCTGCAGGCCTCCTCCACCAGTTCCTCCAGCGCCAGCTTCGCATCGAGGATAGTCCTCCTTCTGACTGCGCTACCCCTCGCACTTGCGGCATTCGCCTTCATGCTCCAGTGGCGTGGTGAGATCAATGATCCGTCATCCGCCTGGCCAAGTGACAGGCAGACTTTTCCCGGCATGGACAATAGCCCGCTGGGATCCTCGGCCGTCTCTATCTTTTCCTCAGTTTCCCGCTCTTCTTCCCCCTCTTCCTCTGATTGTATAGAGATCCTAAGCAGGAGTTCCCCTGGTTCCTTGCCTTATTACCACGGTCGGAATTATGTTTCCGATCCTAATCTGCGACCCAGGGTCAGATTTGTTCTGTCGATGTCTTAATTGTTCCATTTTTACTTTTGTTCCTGTCTGTACAAAATTGAGGCCCCTTGTGAATTTCAGCTAGTTTTTCTGTTGGTAGGAGTTAGAGATGATATGTCCGCTTTGTCAGCGTTTTGAATTGGTCCCGAGCACTTAGAATTCGTCTTTCATTTTATCTGGAATAATATGGTTTTCATACTGGTTCGTATTTTGTGCTTGTATTGCTTCTTTGTCTAGCGGTAACTTTTCGCATTGCTATTTGATGGATAAATTTCCTTTCTAAAGTTGTACGTCACAAGTCAAACAGTACACGATTAATCAGCATGGATCAATATTTCATTGAGGTTAATGCATCGGGATGAATTTCGCTGGTTCCTTGTTGTTATTATTTCCCGTAAAGGTCAACTTTTTTTGGGGATTTTTCTGTCAAATCCTAAGAAAAGTTCTATCTTACATTTGTTGTTATTTTAGATATCTGATTTTGGGTATAAAATGACATTTTCTTTGCAGATCTGTATCACATCAAGCACGTCTGCTGGCTTAGAGCAGATTTTACCATGGCTGTATTTCCATAAAGTGATTGGGGTTTCCCAGTTCTTTTTGTTTGTGGAAGGCGCAGCTGCAAAGCCTGATGTTTCAGCAGTTCTTGAATCAATTCCTGTAAGTTATTGCACCTCTTTGTTGATGAAATTTCATTTAATTAAGCCATTTTAATCTTCTTCTCATTTTTTTTTTGTTTGGTTTGGGTGCTGGGTGTCGCTGGTAAGGTGAGAAGGGGGAAACTAAAACAGTTTTTGGGTAATGTTTATCTTGAGCGTCTGCATTTCTGATGACAGGGTGTTAAAGTGATATACAGAACTGCTGAACTTGAAGACAAACAGGCTAAAAGGTTAGTTACTTCAATTTTTGAATTTTTGAAATTTTGAGTCCATTTTAATAAAAGGGTATGATGGAAGTTTTCCAGAGCATCTGCAGGCTGCTCGTAAGTAGCACATCATTTGTAATTTTATTTCCACCTTTTTGTTGCACCATTTTCATTGATGTAAATTACTTGACTGCCCATTAAAAATATACTCTATTCTTTCAGTTTTTTTTGCTTTTAACATAAACATCTGGAAAAGTAAATATTGATTGGCTTTGAGGTATTGCAGGGAGAAAGCTTAAAGGCTAATACTTTAGCCGCTTACATGCATGATTTACTTGTCAGTTGGTAAGCACGCATAGGCTACATGATAGGGAAGTACAAGCACACAACTGACTCTGTCACCTGAAACATACCTGTATTGCCTTTTGATCTTGGTATCGCCTTCAATTGCTTATCAAATTCTTAAATTATTTATCTCATAAAAAACCTGTAAGATAGCATTCAAATAAGAAGCTTTCTCTCATTATATAGCTTTTAAAGTTTTAATTATATGAACCATAAGAGGAAAATTGAGATTCCTTATTCTCTTGAGTGAAATGCAGACGAACATGCATTCACTTCTTTTTGTTGTGAGGAATAGAGATAGTAAGATGACATGAAAATAGTTAAAGAAGTAGGTTAAATCCTCCAATTTTTCATTGTACTTCCTGGAAAGGGTTTGTACCACCGTAGAACTCAAATTTTAAATTTACACATCTTACTAAGGTGAAATTTAATTTGCAAATGAGCTGTTTTCTTTTGATATTATATTAAAATAGTTGGTGTAGCTTATTCTTTAAATTCTTAGGCGTTATCTCATACAGCAACATGATTTAGCAAATCGGGTATTTCATGAATAGCTTATACTGCAGCGAACTTGCTCAACTAGGGCTACATATTTTGGCTTACCTATTTTTACTGTTCTGATTTGTAAGCTGTTTTGTCTTACTACTAATTTATCTTTAAATCTTTTTATTGCTTATTTATTCAAGTTAAGATGTACGAGAAGACTTGGATGCACCTCTGGGACCAGACATCAGGGATCATGAAATTTATCTAATTTTTTATCTCTATATTTTAATCCAGTTGTATCATAATTATATTCTAAAAGTTAAAGCTAATGACAGCATTATGGGTGAGATGCTAGTGAAGAGGAATGAAGTGCGCTCAATATTCCTGATTGAATATCTTTCTCTGACATTTTTATCCAGCAATGAATTTCTTTATGCCTGCTTTAAATTGCCATTCTAATATTTTTGGTCCAATACTATTAAGTGCTGCAGTTTTTCTGTGGCCATGTTAAAACCCATATGTTCCAATCAAGGGCATATCATTAACTTACTTGTGTTGGAAGGAAAGTGTTAACAAGACTCCAATCTACATTAAAGTGAAAACAACAGCAAAGTGGTTCATCTGGGGTTCATACATTTGGTCCCAAATGTTCAACCTTTGCCATTATTATGTTGAATTTTCTTCCTAAATTGATTTTTTATGTTTTTCATGTTTTTGCTAAGCTTGGGCATCTCTTTTATTAATGCTTTTTAAGTTTATAAAGCTTGTTTGTGTTTGATATAACTTGAAGAAAGCAGCCATGGTCTAATCATATTTGTATTTTGCACATATAATATAGGCAAAGAATCACTCAAACATTATGTAAAACACTTTTCTATAAGTTTGATAATTGGATTCTCTAATTTGGCAGGTTCTTATTTGTAATCCCTTTCTTTTCTGCTAATTAGGTTTATGCAATACATCATAATATGTAGAAGGAGCCTGGAGAAGCATTTATATTTTATTGTTTACTAGTTAACCTTATACGATTGTGATAAAAAAAAAACTTATTTTATTTTTCTTGCTGCAGCCGCATATGGAACGAGACTTGGCTGTCAAATTTCTTTTACAAACCATGTAACCATGAATTATTTGTTAAGCAATCACTTAACATGGAGATGGCTATTGTTATGGCACGGGTATGAGCAATTTTAATATTATTAGTGTTAAAATCATGGTTTAGAAAACCAAACCGGTCGGTTCGACCGTGAACCGGACCAACCGAACGTAAATTGACCGGTGGTCCGGTTTGGGCCGGCTTAAAATCGCCTTTGTATTGAACCAGATTTAACCAGTTTGAACTGGCAAAAACAGGCCGATTTGACCGAATATTGTATTTTTTAATACTTAAATGGCGTTGGAAACATAAGGTGGGTTTGCATGGGGAGTTTCCAGTGGAGAGGAAAGACATTGGAAAGTGGAAATCAAGTAATTAAAGCAGGGTAATAATGGAGTTTGGTGGAAGAAATGATTACAACTCCTCAGTGCCACGTGGCAGATTTAGGGATGGGAGGAAGATCGACCAACATATCTTGGGAGATTTTACTCCTTTTATATTTTGACAATAGTTAATTTTTATTCATTATATAGATATTCTTAATTTATTAGAACTAAATGAAAATATGACACTAAATAGGGCGCAATGGACAAAATGAATTCATGTAGCCGATCTCACGTAGTGGGATTAAGACTTTGTTGTTGTTGATATAGATATTTTTAAAATTATTATAATGCGATTTTTATATTTCATACTTAATTTTTTTTTAAAAAACTAATTATTAAATTTTAAAATAATTTATAAAAATTGTTGTGGTGTTCATTATTTAAATATTGATGTATTTATTTTATATTTTAATAATCATTTTTTATAAATATATCATTTACGTCATATTTAAATAAAATTATAAGTTATTATGTCATCTGGTTCAACCTTCGGTTCAGCCTTGGTCGAACCAGTAAACCGTGAATCTTTCCTTTTTTTTGGTTTGATATCCGACCCGATTTTCACAACCTTGATTAAAATATTAATTTTCTCTTTATATCATTACAGAATTTGCTTTTTCATCTAGTTAGTATGCCAAACTGACTTCTCTTCTGTTTCTTTATTTGTTTTTTTCTCAAGCTTCTTCATGGAGTTTGGATTTCTTGCTTTTTTTTTAATCGTTTGTGAACTGTAGAATGAAGTTTCAGCTTTTAATTCTCTGTATGACTTCAATGGAGTTCTGATATTATAGAATTTTATTTTGTTGTCAAAGCATGATGGAATGGAGTGGATTATCCATCTTGACACAGATGAATTATTACATCCAGTGGGGTCCAACGAATACTCCGTAAGGCAGTTGCTTTCAGATGTTCCCAGCAATGTTGATATGGTTATCTTTCCCAATTACGTGAGTTTAATAATAAAAGTATTGTTTGTTTATGCCAAACAATCCTTTACACAAACAAATCCTTTACATCTGATTCTTTTTATCCCAGGAAAGTAGCATAGAACGAGATGACATCAAGGACCCATTTAGTGAGGTAAGGGTGTTTGCATCTTGTTGCAGATTATATGTATTTAGCCTTTTTCTGCTGCTATAATGCCTGGATATATTTGAGTTGCATAAATCCATATAAGTATTTCATTAAGAACAAAGATTAGCTATGAAAGTTTTAAAAGAATAAATATTAGAAAGATAAAAATATCAGATGTACATTTGATGGACATGTAAAATTATCAGGTATGAAGGAGAGGAGTTCCATTGAAAGGCTTTGAGATACAAGGATATAAATTTTGGGGCATTTACATACATACCACCCAATTCATATGTATTTACATATCTAACACCTAAAATTTGGCTTTTAATTTATACCACTGAAATCTCTCACATCACATCAAAAAGTGCCACCATGTTAACCTTTAAAAATTGAAATATATTTTTTTCATGCATAGGCAAGGTGATATGTATGTAATTGAAGTTTGGGTGTTTGATATGTAAATACATGGGAATTGAGTGGTATGTATGTAAATCTTCCATCAAATTTTTAAAGCACAAATGATCTACTTTTTCTCCAATGCACCAGGCAAAGCTTTCCCATATATGCAAAGCTAAACTTCACCAGTAGCAGTGGGGATGCAATGCTACGATCTCCTTGCTGTTATTATCTCATGCCCAAAATAGATGGATTGTAATGATTGAAATAGGAAAAAGAAGAGAGAAGGTCAACTGCGGTTATCTTTTTATTGTATGAACTTGTTTCCCTTGATGTCTCCTCTGTCTCCCTCATTCCTTTTCTGTTCTTGACCCATGATCTCCTCCTATCTAGTTCTCCCTTTTAGGTTTAATTTTGCTCTATATCTCAATCTCTTCCCACCCTAATATCCCAGTTTTACATATGTATCTCAGTACAAGTGTTGCAAGCTGCCACCTGGTTAAATAACTTTCCAACAAGATTGTGAAATTGATATGACCTGAGGCAGAAGTTGGCACGCTTCTCCACATAAATTAGGACTAACACTAATTTTTATTTCAATCATCCAAACAACTCAGACAAATACAAAAGATAAGCACCTATGATTCGACAGGTAGGTGATCTCTTCCAATTCCTACAATTCGAGAGGTAGGAAATCTCTCCCAAAACCTAAACCTTAGACTCACAACTCGATCTCATGCATCCCCCTAACCCTAGACATAACAAATCTATTTATACCCGATAATTGATACCGGAGTTAACCCAAACCACGATGCAATACGTCAAATTTTATAATTGAATAAAAACAATGATACAATAAAGACTCAAAAAGAAAGGAAAATAAACTCACAAAGCAAAGTGCAAAAACAACACAAGCCATGGCCTTTGCTATCCTTTAGAGGTGGAGTATATCATTGTTTGGAATATTTAGGAGTTACGGGATTACTTATTGAAAAAAAGAAGCATGCAATATTCCGATTTGGCGTGAGTTGCATGTTATTTTTGACATGATTGGCATAAATCTTGGGGTTACCATGTATCTTGGGGAATATGATTTGTATTCTAAGTTTTAAATATATCCTGAATAATTTTGAATAAATCTGAAGAAAATTTGATTAATTTTAATATTTTGTTCATCATCCTTCAGACATTTGGTAAATATTCTTTACCAATTTAGAATGATTACTACTAAGACACATGTACTAAACTAAAAAGGCCTTAAAATGTTCACTTTACCTCGAATTGATTGAGATTGCATCTTGAGCTTGTCCTTAAGTAGTCAAAGGTCTAAATAATTCAAATGAGAGATTCATCATCTTCATGGTTACTAAAAATGATTGACCTGAAATAAAATAGTTAGCAAGTCATTAGATGACATCACACAAGAGTTATTAATGTCAAATCAATAATGAACCACACATGAGTCACATTGGCTTATCAGGTCAACTCACATCAATAAACTTTAACCGTACATTTTTTGGTTTAATATTAGTGAGTCACCAAACACACATTGCTGAGAGAATGATGAGAAATGTTGTGACCAAAATTGGTAAAGACGACTTTAGTGGCTTTTAGCACCACTTTTCAACTAGGGATGTAAACGAGCCGAGCTTGAATTAGCTCAGGCTTGGCTCATGTTCGGCTCGTTCGAAATTAATTATATTTGAAATTGGCTTGTTTAGATTAAGTAGAAAAATAGATGGTGTTGGATTCAAACTCACACCATTCTTATTCAATAAAAATCACAAAACCATATTACTCCACAAGTTGTTGTGATTTAAGTTTAATATATATACCTGAGGCAGAAGTTGGCACGCCCAAAGACTAATATACTAAAAGGAAATAAAGATACATATAGATTTTGTGGAAGGGCCCAAGCACGACACTCACGATAACGACCACATACAAATAGGGTTGAAAACGAGCCGAGCTTGAGAGAACTCAGGCTTGGCTCGTGTTCTGCTCGTTCGAAATAGCTCGTGTTCGAAATCGGTTCGTGAACAGTGTGTTCGTATTTGACTCGATTTAAATATTCATGTTTGTGTTCGGCTCGAAATTGGCTCGTTAAACTAAAATTGAGAAAAATAGATGTAAAGTGTAGGATTCGAACCTGAATCAAATCTATACAAAAAAAGACACTAACCACATTGTCGCATGCGGTGTTATGATTTAAACTTAGACATAAATATATATAATATATTATTATATAAATAATATATTGTTATATAAAGAGTTGAGTTATATATTTTTTTTTCGAGCTATTTCGAGCCGAACACGAGGTTGTTCGTGTTCGGCTCGTTTTGATTTTGAGCTTAAAAACGAGCTTAAAAATTTGTTCGTGTTCAGCTCGTTAGGCTTAACGAACGAGCCGGACACGAGCTGTTTAATGAGCCGAACACGAGCTGTTCACGAACAGCCGTTTTGACAGCCCTACATACAAATGATTCCAAATAAAGAGAAAATACAGAAAATTACAAGAGACCTAAAAAAAACAAAAATGCAAAAAAACGCAGTATCAGGTAGCTAGAAAGCTACCCAATTTTGCTTTGCCTCTATCTCTAGTTTTATGAAAGGAGTCAACTAATAAATTGGTAAGTGAGTGCCATTGCTAGTAGTGACCAAAGTATCATCCAATAAGTTTCCAAGCTTGAGTCGGCCTCCAGTTTTTTTTCTCCTGGAATAGACCCGCCTTTTCTCATCTGAAGATTGGCTCGCCTGATCAGTTGATTGGTCTAAAGTGTGCCAGACATGTGTAGGATATTGAACATTAGAAATAACTGCTTGTTGTAGCAGTTGATATTTGATTGAATCAAAGAAATACTCTCGTGTGTCTTGACATGTAAGTGAGTTTTCTTCAATAACAGTGACTGATATAAGCACTTTTGGATCTGTACCTGTAGTATGATGTTCTTCATCAAGAACTGCGAGATGTTGGGTAGAGGATCGGCTCAGCAGGGATGGTAGGTGGCTGATTTTTAGCGATATCCAAAACCTGTCCTGTGGTAGCTTTCTCTTCAGATGGAACATATATGTCTCGTGTAGTGGGATTAGATCCATTCTTATTCACTTGATCTTTAGATTTCAAATTAGGATGAAACTTATGACATTTATTAAGTGCATGCCTAAACATCTTACAATGAGAACAGTAAGGCGGTCTATGCTTCACAGTCTGTTGCCAATATCCATTATGAGTTCTGCCCAATTAGACTTCAATAACCATAAAAGGTCTGGTTATGTTGAAATTCGGTAGATCTAGCTTCATAGGGTCCCCAAGTATGACCCCAATAGAGTAAAGAACCTGATGATGAAAAAGGTGCAGCTTCACATGGTAGACTGAACCATACCGGTACAATAGGAGGTTCATGATTGTGGTCAAAATCAGAAGAGAACTTGATTAGCTTCATTAATTCACCAACAATGCTGAGATATTTTTTTGGAAAAAATCCGAGTGTAGTCTTCAACCACGATTAATTGAATCAATACATGTCTCCCATCCATGAGCTCCACTTTTCACTTTCCTGCTAATTTGAGATCTTTAAAATTTTTCGTGATAACTTCCATAGGTGGGTGCCCCCACTGAAATTTTTCAATACGGGCTAACTTGAATTTGTCAGTTAGGGTTGAAATTTATAACTCAAAGAAAAAGAGTTCTGCTTTCCCACTTTTTCTACTTGCATTCTTAATAATTAAACAATCACCTGTACCATCACGATATTCCTTATAAGTTGAGGGAAAGACAACCGCCATCTCCATTTGAGGATTACTCACCATGTGGGCAAATGAGATTTTACCAGGTTCAACCGAAGAAGAAGGAAGCTCCATCACATCAATTAAAATCCCTGCTAAGTCGGTCAGAGGGCAAGAATGACGAGCCGAAGACGATCAGGAACCGAAGAGACAAAACACTCGGTGTTGTCAAGCTGAGTCAAGAAGGAAGACAAGCATGCAACCCCTTCTCATCTTCTTTGAGTGATCGAGGAGGAAAACGAAAGAGGAAGATAACCCGCGACACCTTCCCGTTTTCCATGAGATGTGAATCGGTGAAATCGAACAGAGACAACGCAGCAGATGCGAACTCTGTCGGCTTTGAATGTCGCTGACGAGAGCCGTAGTCGACGTTGAAGCAGCGCGAGTCGACGACGACGGAGAGTACGGAGAGACGACGCCGGAGAAGAAATGTGAGGAAATGAAATGATCTTTATGCGATAAGGGTTGCTAGGGTTCGGTCGAAACCCTAGAGCCGAGTGTGGGAGATGACACACACACACACACACACACACACACACATATATATATATATATAATTTTACTATTCCTAGCAAAACGAGCCGAACACAATCTAATAAAGGGTTTTCGTGTTGGCTCGTTTATTATTTGAGCTTAAAAAAATTACGTCCGGCTTGCTTTGTTAACGAACGATTCAAACACCACCTACTTCACGAGCTGAACACGAGTTGTTCATAAACAACGAGCTTTTTTGATAGCCCTATTTACTTCTAAAATCTACTAGCAGTGGAGTTCAATTGCGCCCCTCAAAATTTGCTTTTTATCTCACATTATTGTGAAGCCAATAAAGCCACAATAAGACACCATACATTCTCACTAAGGGTCGGCTAACTTGGCATGCTAAAATTGCATACCTAATCCTTATCCATGATATTCTCGCTTGGAAGGCTCAATTTTTTGAGTGGGCTTAGTGCCTCTCACACAAAAAGGGTTTTCATTTCACCCTTTACTGTGACAAACTCTTGGAACCTTTTCTATTTTGCATTCAATTTTTGCAAGAACTCCTTTAATTAACTCATAAGGGTAAGTTTGGGCGTACCTTTTTACATGAATCTAATTATGTTCACCTAAAATAATACATACATGTTCTTTCGACAAGAAGTCTTTCTTGCTTGATCTTTCCCAAAGTGCGGAGGAAATCAACTATGGAGCCATGCCTTGGAAACGTGGTAAAATGACTTGAAAAAACAATGAAAAACTGAAACAGCTGTTTTACTTCTCATAAGCAATGAAAGGCTTCAGTACAGCCAGGAATGTAGAAATATACCTAACACTGCTGTTTTTAGCTAGATATATGATTATTCTTTTTGAGTTGATGATTTGGTGAACCATTTTATGTTCCAAGTTGTTTCAGTATTTTATGTTTTATTCTTACTTTCAAATCGCCCAATGTATATTGTGAGTTCTTGGCTGTTGTGCTAATCACGCTTTTTCTTTGTTTTAGCAAGGAGAGCCGTTGATTCTATCATTGATTTTGATTATTTAATTGTTTAATTTAAAGGAAAATATAAATACCTGCCACAGTTTTTATGGATTTACATATTCAACCTAAAGTTTGATATTTGTATTTATAACACCTTGTGCTATAAATCTATGCATAAAATGGTGCATTTGACTTCTAAAACGTTAGTAAAAGTGGTATTTTTGATTGGATTTTATGGATTTGAGTGCGATGAACGTAAATATTAAAGTTTAGGTGTCATACATATAAATACATAAGATTTGTGTGGTATTTATGCAAATGCCTCCAATTTAAAGGTGGAGGGGTATAAGATATAGTAGGCATGCGGCTCACATGTTCCCCTTTTTAGTTGCAATGTAAATTATTTGTTTTGGGCGTATGTAGTCATATTGACAGTACTGATTTCAGTTATTGACAGAAACTCCTGCTATCAATTTCTCTAATTTATTGATAAGAACGTCGTTGATATTGCTAATCATGTGTATATGTATGGTCCTTGCCCAAAGATTTCCATGTTCAAGAAGAACTATGATCATCTTCCGAAGGAAACTTATTTTGGTCTGTACAAGGAAGCAACGCGTGGTAATCCCAACTACTTTCTCACCTATGGAAATGGAAAATCTGCAGCACGGATTCAAGATCATCTACGTCCTAATGGAGCTCATAGATGGCACAACTATATGAAAACTCCAAAGTAAGATACTTGTCTTGTTCTATCATCACTAAGGTTCTGTTTTTTATTGTTGTGCTGTGTTAGGTTATACAAAATGGTGATTGCTACTCGTATAGAGAAAATAGGATGCCGAGCTGCACAGGAAGTGCATTTACATGATCATGAAGTGTTGTAGAAGGTGCACGTGTGGAGAGATCTTTAATTTTTTTTTATGGTTTTCACACAAATTAGTTAGTGATTTGGCAGGTTTTTGAAAAGAAATGCTGTTGAAATGGATTAACACATGAAGCTGAAGTTTTCAAATCAACCATATGAGCTTCTGTGCATGGCTGTTTGAATTAACTTTGATTTATCTTTGAATTCCCGACCCTATTCAAAAAAGGGTTGACGGTTTATTAAATGCCTAAAATATGTCAATTTACCTAACTTTGTTGAGTTCCGGGCATCAAAGAATCAATATTTCAGATTAAGTTGGGTTTTCACATTGACTGTACAAGAAGCATTTTATCTTATCTTTGTTTGTTTACAGGGCAGCATCAGTGTAGCACTTTAATAGATATCCTATCACTGTTCTGTCATTTTTGTATAACCAAATTTATAGAGTTTTCATCTGTATCAGAGGATACCTTGTAATCCTAAATGTAGCATTGGTGAAAGTATATTTAGTAATGGTAGCACTCTGTAGGCATGATTATGGATGAGCTTGTTTGGTTTCCCTTTGTTATGGATATTCTAGGCATACATTACGCAGCTATTTTATCTGCAGAACCTTGCTAGTTTTAATATCTATTAGTATGATCATAATTTCTCTTGGAAGTAATTAGATAAGTGGCTTTGCTTTAAGCTTTGCATATTTTGTTCGTTGTAGGAAAAAGATCTACGAGATGCTAATCACTTTTCATTTTAGGTCTCATTTTGGTTGCTTATAGCGAGCTTGTTTCAGTAATTGTTTATTTCTTTTGTACCATTTTTTTTGTTTGAAAAAATGACATCATTATATTTTCATAATTTTGAATTGATTTGTGGCATTTAAAGTCATTTTTGATTTCTAACTGCTTCTGATATTGGAGGCAACCCAAAATCCATTAGGAAAACAGAATTTATTACACAAAACACGAGATGACAGTCAATAACTCAGAAGCAGGAAGAAAACCAATAAAACACAAATATCTCGCTAGGGTGATAGGTGGAGAGCCAGTGGAACAACAGTGAGATGGTCAGGGAATGGTGTGGAGGATGAGGGCATGCAAGAAGTGGTGGTTGGGGGTATGAGGGTTGTAGACAGGCTGGCGGCAATAAGAACGGGTGAAACCACAGCAACGACAGCAAGGGGGGAATGCAGGAGGGGTAGAAAATTACAATAGGGGGTGTTGGAGGTGCGACAATAGCTACTTAGGGATGCGGGGGGAAGTATAAACAAGCAGATGAGATGGAAATGGGAGAGAGATTGAGGAGATAACCACTACTGTATAGCAGAATATGACCGGAGCCTTGCCTATCCTCAGATACAATTCTAGAAGGGATGGACTAGAAATCTGAAAACAAATCAATCCCCTAGAGCAAGTAGAAGTAGCACAAAAATAGACTAGGTAAAATGGGTAGGGACAACTCAATTCGGCGGCAACCTAAAACCTCAGGAGAATAGGTCAACCCTCCTAACCCCATCCAAAATCGGCTGAACTGGTTCAGGTGGACAGCCCCACGACAGTCTCTTGGGGTTGGGGGAGATTTGACTTCATTTGTCGAAGCTTCTGCCTGCCCTTTGTCAGTAATGGAGCTGTTGTGATCTCTCGGGGTTGACGACTCTTTGACTGTTGCCCTCAAATCTCTTGGATCCCATTGATGACTGCCTTGGCCCCCAACACACTGGAGGGGTTTTCTCCACCTGCGAGCATACATCTATATTTATGATTAGACGGTATTACATCTTACTATCCGCATTATGAAAACTTTCAATACATATAAAAGAGCCACTAATCCACAAAGTGAAATAAAATCTAAAACATCTAGAAATAATAACATCTAAAGGCAACATCTCAAGCCAGTACTAAACAATATATCAATTTCTGAAAGAAACAATGAAGTAAAACTATCATTATAAAAAAATACCTAGCAGCGGTAGTCTTCCTTCGGTAAACCAAGTCTCTTCTATTAAACCTATCAACCTATAACTTTTCTTCACCTGATAGAAAACATTATTTGCAACCATAACTATAATGTCGTGAGTAATTATAATCTATTATGCATTAAATTTTTATGCTATGCTATGCATGAATGACCAAAAGAAAACGCTGTTCATTTCATTGACACTTTAACTTTGTCCATTCCCGTTCCACTTTAAGCTTTTTTCCTTAAAGTCATAATAGGATTACCATTATGCCCAAAGGTATTGACCAAAAGAAATGCAGTGTTGCTTTACAATATATATATATATATAAATGGAAAATCTGCAG